ACTTAGCTGTTGGGACTTTCACAATGGGGGTTGGTGGGCATCCCTCAGCACCAACCACTACTGGTTTCTCGAAGCTGACTTATTGGTAGTATTCTTCTTATGCTGGCTCCTCATATGTCCTTGCTCTCCACATTTGCAAGAACCTTTCTGGATAGCTGCCTTTCCTGCTGTGGCATATTCCCTGTGTTGAAGATTTCAGCATTGAGCTTTCTTGTGCCCAGGTTTATTATAGTGCCAGCAAAGTCCCTCAAACCTCTCTGAAAGCTGACCTTTTCTGGCCTTGAATCCTGATAACTGTACCAACCTTGGTACCTCTATGCTAGATTTAACATAGGATTCGAATTCAAGAGCTGTGGCCATTGCATCTTGTATAGTAGAGGGGTGTGCTTGCTTCACTTGTATCTTCAGTTGTGGACTGTCCAAGGCTACTACAAACTGATACCTCAGCAACAATTTGAGGACATCGGATGGCACACTTGGGTAGGCCTTGTGTGCCATACTTTCCAAGTCCTGTGCCAGCTTTTGCAGGCTCTCCCCTTTAGCATGGACTCTCGTCTTAAACCTAGCCCTGTAGACTTTGGACTAATTTTGAGTTCCATACCTGAGCTCTAGGGCATCTTCCAGTGCTCCATAGTTGTGCCTGTTGTCTGCTGACAAATGTCCAAGTATTTGCAGTGGTTGTCCCTTCAAGCTCGTTGCCAGATATACTGCTTTCTGCTCCTCTCTCAATCCATTCATCTATGCCAGGAGCCCAAATTGTGCTCTATATGCTTCCCACGGTGCCTTCCCATTGAATTCCTGTTGCTTCCTTCGTACTAGATCACCCCTATTGCTGACATTCGTATCTGGAATGTGACTTCTAACAGGACTGAAAATGTCTGCATTAGAGTTTAGCTGCAGGGTCTGGAAGGGCTTCCCGTTGTCTGAGGCTGATTAGGTCAATGGCTAATATATCCTCCTTGTGTAAAAGACAGTAAATCATTTTTTAATGTATTTAATTTGCTTTGAAATTTACTAATGTTTTCCATTTGTGTACTCTGGCTTTCTCTCAATTGTTGGAGACTTTCTTCTTGTTTATTTTTTTCTCCTCCATCCACTGCTGTAGTCTCTCTTCTTGTTTATTTTCTCGTTCTTTTTGTTTATTTTCTTTTTCCTCCAACAACTGCTGTAATCTCTCTTGTTTATTTTGCTGTTCGAGCTGCCACTGTTGCAGGTTTTCTTGCAACTGGTGTTGTCTCTCTTCATGTTTCTTTTGCTGTTCTTGTATTGCCGCCATCAAATTTGCTAAGCTGTAGTTTGATTTGCCACCTCTCGTTTCCATCTTCTTCTTCTTCTTCTTTTTATTTTCCATCCTACTTCTGACACGAATTTGTTACGTCTGTGTTCGTTTGTTAATTTTTCGTAGAAATTCTTTCCTAGAAACTTCAGCAATACAAGCCCTTTCTTAAGTAAAACGTCATGAACTTCTAGAAGGATCCTGTCCCTTCCTGAATGCTCGAGCGTTTTCTAGATTTCGGTATTCTTTTATACATAAGACGGTCAAGACGTGACGGCAACAGAGTAATGTGTAATTGAACTGCGGACAGAGAGATAGTATTGTTGAGTCAATCACGTGAGACGTTCGTTGTGAATTATAGCGTTTGTTACATAGCGTGACTGTGGAAATTAAGTGTATTGCAAAGTTGTATTTAGAAATAATAAACCAGTTTTATTTAAGAAAGGACTTGTATCGCTAAAGTTTCTTCGGAAAGAAATTATACGGAAAATTAACTAACGAACAGAGACGTAACAATACTCAAATAAGGGTACCATTATTTGAAAACTTCTTCCGAAGTTTAATTTTCTTACGTATAAAAGTTGAAATGTAAACTTGTGCTTATGAAATAAATTTTTCGAGGCTGTCTATAAAAATATTTTTGCATATACGCCAACGTTTTATAATAGAGGTTGCAAAAGAAAAAGTTAACCATTTAATTAAGGTGAATAGTTAAGCCCACAATTCACAACCAAATAGCCTGGCTTGAATGAAAAGCTTTATTACACAACGCTACGCCACGAAGCTCCACGTATTAATTTGTTTTCTAACTTACTAATTCAGTAAATGCACTCGTAATCAAAGTTACAAACTTATTAAATTTTTAATAGCAACTTTCTAGTCCAACCTTCAAAGCAACGTTAAAGCCTGCACCCACTCACTTTCGTCTCTACTAGC